CTCGTATGGCGAACAATTCACGTACAGAGATAACGATTTTTCCAATTCCAGCGTCTGCACCATAAGCACAGTAGATACCTATAAGGTGGTTTCCAATTCTCTAGGCATTTCCTGTGCAAAAGGGGCGTTCGGCATCTGAACTTTGTAACTGAGGTGCTCCCAACGCTTTAGGAGCCGGGGTCGAAGAGCGTGATGACCCGACCTTCTTTGGCGCATTGAAAGCGTGGCGGCCTAAGACCCGGCGAAGTTCTTCGCGTCACGGAGGCCGTGCGACGCAGACGCCTATCTTGCGTTCACGCAAGAGGAGGCCATTTTGAACACTAGTAGATTCCCCTGAACAGGAGGTGAAAATGTGAAATTTTGGCTGTATACTCAAATTTAATAAACTATCCTAAGTAACACTTAAATTATATTTTTCTCTCTTCTTTCATATTCGTTAGATAAGTAGGCAATAATAGCAAAAGGGAACAAATTGAATAATAATATTTGGGCTACCCTTCTGAAATATGTACAATGTCAATAAACTTTTTTTTCAATTTTAAAAAAAATAAGGTTTACACTATTTCATCAGTATCATCATTATTCATCAGAAAATCGAAATTAAGAAATTTCTTTTGCTCAATTCGAGTGGACAGGGGTGGGCGGTTTCCTCATAATTCAGTCCGTAACGTAAATCTTGAGTAATACCTTCTTGACGTATCCAGGATATCAATCAATCAGGGTGAAGATACCAGTCGTTTTTGAGCTGTACATGCCCCCACAGGGCGTGGTTTGAAAGCCTTATTGCATCATTTTGGCTTACAATCTTCCTGCGATAAATAATTATCAAAAGCGTACGCATAGAAGGGGGATAGAAGGGGGGGGTGGCATCTGAAAATTTAGAAAGTGGCCCTGAAGCCTCATATAATAAAATATCTTATTATCGTAAATGTGTTTAATCCTTTATCAGAATGACTTATAGAAGAACGTATGGGTACATTTTAATGCTGGCAAACGGATATATACATTATTCTATTCGAACATTATCAACGTATCCATATTAAAGTAATTATTATTGCCTTATTGGTCAGAAATAAACAACTGAAAAAATTTGGACATTTTTCTGCTTTGTAATAGTCAACGACTATGCTGTAGTCATTAACTCGTTGACCAGCTATTTTCAATAATAAAAATTCATTTTCTTGTTTATTTACAAATCACTTTTTACAATCACAAAAATTGTAGATATTTGCCAGAAATTGTTAAATAATTGAACTTAATATTTTTCATTATATAAGTTTTACTTTTGAAACGGCGTTTCTTGACATTATATCTGGACATTTATAAAAATTACGTGTACAGAGGCACCGTGTTAATTTTAGTTCCAAAGAAATTAAAGCACTTGTTAAATTGAGCACGTATATTTTTTTAAAAAAAACTGTATGAAATGTATTACATAAAAATGTAACATGAATTAAGTGAAAATTGTTTTGACAAATTTACAAATTGTACCTGCAATGTAATGGTCTAATTCGGGATAAAAGGTGTTCTTTTGAATCTACCATTTAAAAGTGGCTAAATTAGATTACTGTAGAAACTCCTAAAAATGCGCAAAAAATACTAAGTCGGCGGAAACCAGCTAAATATATACAAAAATACCACAAAAATGCAATCAATTCGAAGTTAATCCATCCTAAAACCACTCAAAAATTGACTGAAAATTGGATATGGTGACCCAGAAATAGTGTCCTCCTCTTGTTTTACACTGCACACGTTTATGGTTTTATGATGGCTCACTTCTGCACATGCCTATGTTAATTGTAGGTTTCCAACAACCTTGCATCATGTTGAAACAGAGTTATTCCCAATCTAATTACAGCTATTAAAAGCGTGATCGTGTCCCGACACCTTTCTCACAGGTGGCCCGGATGTACACAAGTACACTAATAGTATTCTACTGTTGCAAAATATCACACGGGTCATCCGGATAGAAATTTCTCCTACGAACCCTGCCCACTCAAAGTTGTTGGAGACTTCTGTCATAAACTCCAATAAAAACAGGCGCTGGTCCACAACTCGTAAAACTGCTTATTATACGCCTCGCTCAGATGAAACCGGAACGATTTCTTTCACAGAAACACATTGTTGCCCAGTTCACCATTCATTTGACGCTCTTCCGTTCAACCGGCGACGAAAGTCCATTTCAATAATTACCCGAGTCAGCTACGCTCTAAAGACATCTGACACACTTTTACCGGGCTCCCGCGCACCAGCTTCTTCCAACTGTGGAAGCTTGTACCGATCGCTCGCTCGCCGTCGACGTCGTCTCGGTCGCATGCGCTACAGGGGCGATAAGGCGGGCGTTCGCGGCGGCGGCGGCTGCCCTGCTCTCGCCTCTGCCTCAGCGACCTCGATCCAAGAGCGATGGGGGCGCAGACGGAGGAAGCACGACGATCGGGAAAGTATGCCGCGAAGGGGAATCGCAATTATACAGCTTCAAAATCGCGCCGCCATCAACTCTCGTACAACGGGAGAAAGTACAGGAAGGGCCGGGAGTTTCTGTCGGGACCATCTGCCGCCCGAGGATGCTGTGCCGCCGCCGCCGCCGCCGCCGCTTTGGCCAGTCATCGAGTGGAGAAGTTCATTGCTTTTGTGTCGGGTACCACGGAAATGATCGAGTGAAGAAAGAAAAGAATTTCGAAACTGGACAAAAGCTGTTATGTAAATGTCCGCGCCTGGTGTCTCGTAACAATTTCGGCTTTCCCGCTGGCATGTATGGCAGATTCTTTCATTCGTTATTTAACACAAAATTAACGTGAAAACTACTTGTGCTTTCAAAAATATGTACATAAACGTGTTTTAAGATCTATGTATTTTAGATAATCACATATTATTACAAGTTTCATTAAGGAAAAAAGCTTTATCTTTAATATTGTAGTTGTAAGAAGAAGCCGAAAAAGTTTTAACTTACATAATTCACAATGCACAGACTTCAACTAAAGAGAGAGCTTTTACCATTTTTTAAGTGTACTTTGCTAAAGCTCTCTCCGAGGAACAACTTTAATAAAATATGTGAAGTCATTTTTGAGAAAAATTTGGCAATATAGTTGAAGAATAATGTATCGTAACCCCCGAAAAATCAAAATATCCGTCTTCACCTCGCAGAGCCACTAATTCCCTCAGATCGATCTGGGGATATTAAATCTAAAGAAAATCGTCTGAACGGTTTAGATTTTCTAAAGGTGAGCAAAGTTAGACGATTTGTCGTAAACCAATTTTTGGGCATTCAGGACCGACAAAACGCGGATTCTGACCTCACAACGTTTTGGAAGAAGTAACTTATTACTTACAATCTTTAACCAATTTTCGATATGAGGGCCCATCGCGGTTTTTGCCGCAGCATTACTATAAGTTCTCTATACTACATAAGTAATGTGGGAAAGTAAAAAGAACTCTGAGTTCAATTAAATTGTATAGGGCACATTGCTGCTGTCGATTTTGCACATTATAGAGTTTTTTATGCAAATTGCAACTTCGCCTAAGTTCAGCAGGCAGTCTATAATTTACGATGTTACGGTGACCGTCTATAAATTACCGAATTACAAATGAAAAAGAATAAACCTAGAGATCCTATATATTCCTTCACCATCAGCACCCGATCCTGCATTATGTATAATACTTGTAGTTGACGAACGACTTGCGAAATTGCATGCCTGATACCATCGGAAGGCTATTACGCGGTCAGAATGAAAAAAACTCGTAACCCAACCGCATGAACTTTCTCGAAAAGAAAAATTACTGTTCCGTATTAGGATTTCAAAACCATTTCTTGGAATTATTATTGCATTTTTTTACTTATTTTTTAATTCTAAGTCAATCCAGGCAAAAAGACGTATGCAGCTAAATAAAATAATAAAAATCTTCATATAAAAATAACTTGTAACCATACGTCATATTTACAATAAATGAGAGAGACTGCTTTAGGATATATCAGTAAGGTTGCATGTATATTAAAATAATAGTGGTAAAAGAAAAATTGGCCAATGCCAAAGAAAAGGGAAGTATCTGAATTATTGGCTTTTTTTGGTTAAATGAAGATATTTAGAAAATGGTCTTATTTTTAATAGAAAAACTTTCTTTAAAATAGAACACAAAACAACCGGTATATGAGGATAAATTCATATTATATTTCGGGTTGTATCACCATTGTTTTTTCCCGCGAAATACACGGTTTAAATTTTTCTCTTGCAACATGACAATTCTTGAGTTGCGTCAATTTTTCTTGTGTATCGATGAATGCTGATTCTTCACAAGTAACTCAAAAAAATAAATTAACGAATAAAAAATAATTTATTTTAAATATTACCATACGTTTTAATGCTATGAAAGCTAAATTGGGTTAATTAATAAATAAAAACAAAATTTAAACTTGGGATAAATCTAGCAAACGTCTCTGCGACGTAGCCATGAGTGAAATAATTTTAAAATGAATTCTGAAAGGAAACCAAATACTTCCTTGCCGGCCTGTAGAGCCGAGGTCGCTAAGGCTGAAGAGACTCAGCCGCCTCGTGACTGAAGGGTCACGGGTTCGAATCCCACCTGGGGCAGTGTTTACCGAAAGGGGAACATGCTGCCAGTAGTGAGTGCTTAAAAGAAGAAGAAGAATGGAAGAAAATTGGAAGAGGGGGGAAAAGAGGGAGAGGCAGAGAGAAGAAGAAGAATGGAAGAGGGGGGAAAAGAGGGAGAGAAGAAGAAGAAGAAGAAGAAGAAGAATGAAAGGGGAATCGAAGAGGGAGGAAAAGAGGGAGAGGCAGTCAGAGACGAGAAAGAAGAAGAGGTGGAGAAAAGTAAGAGGGAGAAGAAGAATTAACCATTAAACACGAAACACCTTTTGACGAACGCACTTATGCGCAGAGCGACTTCTGGCTGCGACAGAGGCGCCGTGCTGACGCGCGCATCCATCGACAGCAAGCGCACAAACAGGGACTACGAGCCCCGGACGTAGCAAGCGCGTCACTCACCGGGGTTGTCCGCCTTGAAGCGCGCCGCGACCACGCCGAGCGCCGGCACCGCCACGGTGTCCCTGGGCACGGGCCGGCTCAGCTCGCGGTCCATGAGCGCGCCCCGTCGGTCCAGCGCCAGCACCTCGGCCGCCGTCGCCGCCCGCTTCAGCCGCGCCGCGCCCACCACGTACAGCCGGTAGCCGTGCATGTGCAGCACGGCGCTCGCCTCGCCGTCCCCGCCTGCGCACGCGCCACATTCCGTTCAGAACACCCATTCTTTCATAGAAACGTTGATTTAAAAATTTATATAATAACATATGCAGGGCCTTCGAGGCGTAAAGTTTAACATTTGCCGGGCCCTAGTACCTTTGCCGGGCCCTGGTACTTTTGCCTGGCCCTAGTACCTTTGCCGGGCCCTAGTACCTTTGCCGGGCCCTGGTACTTTTGCCTGGCCCTAGTACCTTTGCCAAACCCTGGTGCCTTTGCCGTGTCCTGGTACCTTCACCGTGCTCTGATACCTTTGCCGGGCCCTGGTACCTTCGCTTCCTTAGTCCCCGCCTGCACACGTAGTTATACCCAAGAAGGGATGCGGCATCGATATTTTTATAGGAACATCGACATTTTAAACATTCATACATTAAACCTAGGATGCATATGCACAGTCTCCGAAGCGCAATAATATGCACAGCTACGATTATGAGAGTTTGCCTTATATGTAACCTTTCTTCTATCGTTCTACTTTAATTTTAGTCACTGGCAAAGAAAAAATTCTCAGAAGTTATATAGATAGATCCTGAAATTTGATTTTATTTCGTTATATGCATGTCTTTTAAGGATATTTTAATAGTTATTTCAGTTACCTTTTTTTAGTTATCTGAATAAATAATCATTTTTTATAATTAAGAGTTTATCTTTTATTGAAATTATTATAAAATGTAGTCATTAAGAATATGAAACAATTTTATGTTCATCTTTCATAACTTGGTTGTGTTAGAAACTTCCTACTAAATTCGTATTCGGTACTAACTACCAACGGTTCTCCGTTTCTGCCTTCTAATTTCCGTCTCCAACAAGCTGACAGCTTTCAGGAGATGAAGACAAGTTTCATACGTCTCCGTAACTTAATCGCATGTCAAGGAAAAACTACATAACACAGTAATTCTTTATTAACACGTCTCGGGATGACAGCAAAGAACATGCCTTGAAGAGCAGATCGCATCAAATCTTCAACACCTTTATTTCCTTTAAATATTTTTCAATTTTTTCATAATTCCACGTACTCACAAGAATTACACAGAAAGGATATAACGTTATTAGCAAAGTCCACGAAACAATTTTAGAGTTTTATTTTTTAACATATTTCATTACACGGTAAAACCCAAAACTTTTTATATTCCCATTTAATATGAAGTGTGAAATACACACCTCTTACATACGAAAACATACGTAAATGGATGCGGCTGCACGCAAAAGGAAACAAAGCACGAGAGGTAGAAAATTGCTTCCACGAAATTTCACTCTTGTTTGTCTGAACAAAGGAGCGCGGGTGAATATCCCACAGACGTCGAATGAAGTCGAGGAAGTGACGCAATGCATCCTGCGACTTGTCTTTCGCCCAGGTCAGTTGCACCTGCAGAGCGCTCCTGCAGCTCACATGGGGAAGCCCCTGGCAGTTGCAACACTGTTTCGTTGCGAGTTTTCACACACTCACTTTTGATTCAAATGTTAGGTCTCGAAAGATCTTGCTCACAGTTGCACGAGTTACTAAAAAGAAAGGAGAATAACGATTGAAAAACTGGTGAAGTATTTTGAAGTGGTATTTTATTTCGTTCTTAAGTAGCTTTGTACTCAGTTTCTCTTTTAGCATTTCTCGGAAACACAACTCAGATTCAAAATTATCTACCTTCCATACCAATTCCCCCTTCCCTTCAAATAATAAACACACGGCGTAGGTGAGTTATGGGGGTGCAAATATGCGTATGAGTTTGTTGAATTGATTATAATAACCAAATAATTTTCGCAATATATCATTTTTAGGAATAATTCAAGTTGTTAACGTAACTGAAATAACCTGTCCCTTATGTTTGGTACGCTCATGCCGATTTGCTGTTTTTACACATTCACCGATTGTCCTTTAATATTACCTCAAATAACATGTATTTTGGCAGTTTATTGAAAATACTCGTGTATTGTGTGCTTTAATATTGTAATTTATGTGTAAGCATATTGTTTGATAATTTTTTTTCTATTTTAGGACAATAACCCTTTGGTTTTATTGATTGTTTTGGCCTATTTTTCAACATATAATTTATTTGCATTTAGGTCAAAACTGACAACAGCTTTATAGTTAAAGGCAATTACTATGAGAATAAAAAAAGTTTCCAAGCTAGAAAAAAAATTATCCTGGCCTTTTAACGAGGAAAAAATGTAATTAAATTAAACTATAAATTATAACAATGTGGGAAGAAACAAGAGAATGATGTATTAAGACAGTTCTTGGAGGCAGTAAAAGTAATACTTTATTAAATAGTAATAAAGTGTTACCTTTCATTAGCTCATGGAAGAGAAAAACATAGGAAAAAAATTAGTTTAACATGTTTTTAGCCACATCAATCGCATGACTGACGTAAGCATTTCATGTACATCATACATACGATCTTCAATTTAGATTGGGTTGTGTCAGTTACTGTACGTTGATGTTCATTGTCATTTTACGAAGCACACAGGAAGTTTGGCTCTTACTGTCCCTCTCAGCCAAATATTAAACCCTGAGTTGCGTGCTCAAGAGAAAACAAGTAGTGCTACAACAAGTCACAGAGTTTTTCATACAACTTTAACGGGTACCGTAAAATCATTACGAATATATTGGACATTAAGTACCTCTAATATTTCAAGTATTTGGACAAATATTTATTCATTAAACTGATCGAAACATAGCCCACAATCATATCTAAAACACACTTTATATAACATTGTCCGTTTTGATGCGTACATCATCAATAATGATTTGCAACATTTAATATATTTATTTTGAGGACATTCAACTGTATTCGTTGCCCTAGCAACAACGTGCAGAAGTAGTTTTGGCTCTCAAAACGCCCATTCTCGCACTTTATTTATGAAAGAAGTTATCAAAATTAACTAAATTAACAGAAAATGCTACGCTGTAAAACAAGATACAAAAATGTATCTTTTGAGAATTACAAATTGGCCATATGGCGCAAAATAAGTTTAACTAATCTCGCTTCACTATGCGCACGTTTTGTTGAACTCTCCCTTTGCTTGTAATGGTAAGAGTAGAGGTAAGGGCGAGTTGCTATTTTGTTAGCAATGCAGAAAAATCATACTTGCAATTCATGTACCGATGCAAATAAGTTTTCTATAACTCAAACACAAAAATGACTATTTTCCAAATATTGCTTATCTTGCGAGTTTTAAAATTTATTTTAAGAATTTATTATTTATTGTCTAAAATGTTTATTTATTTATGTTAAACTTTTATTAATATTTCAACTATTTATAATTAAAATGACGGGAAGGGATTCTGGAACTCAAGGAAACGTGTGCAGATAATCTTCTCCCCCTACGTCACATACAGTTTTTACTGTTTTTGAATGAATAAATCTAAATCTTAACAACTTTGAGAACACACACTCTAAATTGATTTTAGCTCTTTAAAACGTTCTATTCTCTTACACACTTTTGATGATTTGCCAGATATTTTAACCGATGACCCACACTCATTTTCCTGCACGTGAACGTTCAATTTGGAACGTTCGATACATAAACTTTCAATTTAGATTGGGTCGTTTCAGTTACTGCACATTGATGTTCATTGCGATTTTACGGAGCCCACAGGCAGTGTGGCGCTTACTGTAACTCTCGATGAAAGTGTACTTTCCCCCCTCATCAGCGCTGACAGCCACGCACCTTGGTTGATGAGCAGCAGCTCGACGGTGGCGCCCAGCGGCACGTGCACCACGTGCATGCACTGGCAGAAGCCCCCGGAGCCCACGTGCGCGCACGAGTAGGGCAGCGAGCCCTCATTGCACAGCAGCTCCGAGTCCACATCGCCGGGTTGCGTCAGCACCGGCGACGACGGGAACACGAACGTGATGTTGTTCACGTGCGGCACGCGCACGTGCGACACACGTTGTGGCACTGCAACACACAGCACATCAGAACGTGCAGGAACGGCGAGGAACGGAAAGAAAAGCGAAAGTAGGGATGGTGTAGGTGAAGAAAATGTTATAGGAAGAAATTAGGATTTCTGAATATTGTGACGTAGTGAAATGAGAAATAAATTCAAATAACAAAATAAAAATAGTATATTAAAAGATTATGAACAAGTTACAATAAATTGCTAATATTAAACACTCCGGCAACCTTTTCCTTTCAGTACCCTGCTTTACCGCATCCTCCCCCGCAGCGCACTTTCACCGACCTAACGGTTCTGGCCCTCGTGTTAACGACGCCACAATATCCTCTTCTGCACGTTTCCAAAAACAATCTCTCTTTATATCTCAATTCATATATCATTCATGGCCGAAAATGGAACGATCGGATGTAAATAATGATATCTGAAATTTTGGGCCGAAATCGGTATTATTGGCATTAATGAACGAAAGCGAGTAGCTCTGTGTATAATCTAAGTGATTTTGAGATCAGACGAAGGTAGTGATAACTCGCTCGTACGTTATGGCTTGGGTCTCTGATTATGTATAAATTCGCGGTTTTACATTGTATTTCCCTGCACAACATGATGTGTTAATTACCTCTATTTGTAACCGCATGCCACAAAACTAAAAGTTCATGCAAGCGATGAAATTTCATACAAGACAGTGTGCAACATGCTTTCTTAATTAACACATCCTAAATTGCAATAATAAGTTTTGGATACAATGGAAAATCACAGCACACCTGCGTGGATGAGCGTAATTCATTCAGTCGTCAAATAATCTGATAATGGTTATAAAACTTCTTTCTCCTATATTCTTTTGAAATCCTTCCTAGTAAATTATACCACTCAATATCAGGAGAATCTTGCATCTTATCCAAGCGTCACGGATTGCTCATCCACCTGAAATTGACGCAAGGAACCATGGCGTATCTGATTAGATCAGCTGGTGACTAGAATGTTCGTCGAGGCGGTGGTCTGCTTTAACGCGGCTATTTAATGGTGTCGAAAGTTCGTGCATCGCTGTATCTCAAATCAAGGACCTCCCAGTCTTCAAATTTTCAGTTGCGGATCCGCGACTACACACTACTGCAGCCGGTTATATGCGACATTTGGAGGAACAACATTACAAAAGAGAAATCATGAATTGTTCAGAAAAAAGCATTTAAAGTTTATGGGTAAGTGGAAATACTACAAAGTCATGTCCATCTTCAAGGACAAAAAGAAACAGTTACTTCCATATCTTTGTTTCTCCAGTTTAGAGAATTTAATTTTAGGAATATTTTGGGATTACAAAATCATTTGAAACAAAATTTACACTTGTTTCTCCAAAAGTACGATTTACGTAAATAATATGTTCTCCACTTTGGCTATATAAAGTCAAACATTAAGAATTTGAGATCAAGTGTACAAATAATCCATGGAAGTGCCCCAATAAATCCATGGCCTCTATAAATTAGAAATATAGTGACAACAGCATTCATCAACTGAGGTTTAGGAAACCCTAGATTTTAAGTTAGAACATACGCAAAGTAATCTAAATATAATGCGCAAATTAAATTATAAAAACCTAACAACATCGGTCTACAGATGAGTAGTGAAATGAATGCTCAGGATGAATACACAAATTTCGCCAAAAATTGTAGTATGTTGACATTTTTACAAAGAGAATAAAACTTTGTGGGATATTCGTATTGTATCTACTTATTCCGAGAGAAATTCGAAAAATCTTAAATGAAAAGAATGTTAGTAATAATTCTTCGCAACAAATGCATTAATAACTTCTGCTACACTCACTCTTGACAACATATACCAGAAGTTTCCTGAAGCGCAGAAAATTTGTAAACGAGTTCATGTACATGACTCGCTCGCCATGAATAGGTTTTCCTAACCCTCATTTGATTTGGAATAATGACTGTTTTTTTGTACTATACTTTGTACTATATTTTGTACTAACACAAGCTAGCCTTTCTTTTGTAATTCTAAATGTACACTTAGTAATCGACTATTAAGAGATGTCGAACATCGAATTGACAGAACTGAATAGATATTGAGTTGACAAACCCGTTGCCCTAAACACACATCTCTTATTGGGAGAATCAGAAACCTTTCCCAGCAAACCATTTAGATGACTCGGCATTACCATGGTAAGCCGGAGAAAAGAAACGCACTATAAAAAATACATTACGAGCAATTTGTGCCTCAGGGCGCCAGCAGGGCTGATTTACAGATCTAGCGCAAGAGTGTGATTTCTCTCGGCGGCCGTGACCCCACTGCCGTCACCGTCGCACTCGATTCCGCCTGTGTTTACCGCCTCGCCGGCCAAACGACTCGCCCCGATGCGGCGCCACGCGCCTCGACGCGCCGCGCCGCGCCGCGGCGGCCTTCTGCCCTAAAATTAGCTGCCGACGCACGCGCGTCGTTGTGAATCGGAACAGGCGCCGCCGAGGTGGTATAAACAGCGCCAGCGAGACACTTCGGCTGTTTTCCTGAGTGGTTGCTCTCGCGGTACTTTCTCTTTCAATCATATTTTATCGATTAATTTGCAAAATAAATTGCTTCAAGACTTAATTTAATTTGAATGTATAAGAAAATTTGAGTCTGCCTCGAATACCGCCCCCAGATCACGAAATGACTTCCGGAGACTTCGCATTATTCGTAAACGAACGCGAAAAACGATAGACGCGAACGATGCATTCTGTTCGGTAGATAAAAGTATTCGTGAATGACCTTGAGCGGTTTGTACGGAGCTTGTTACAATGGTGAGAAAACTGGATGCAATATTTATGTAATTAACCAGTATTGTTCACAAGAATTAAAAATGTACGAGAGGCACATGCAATTAAACATTAGTTGGGTTTGCTGATGTTTTAAAGTTGTTGAGGCGTGAACAACCACCAAAATGGTTTCCTGAGTGGTTGCTCTCGCGGTACTTTCCCTTTCAATAATGTTATCGCCGTTTTTTATCAATTAATTTGCAAAATAAATTACCTCAAGACGTAATTTAATTTGAATGTATAAGAAATTTGGGGTCTGCTTCAAATACCGCCCCCGATCACGAAATGACTTCCGGAGACTTCGCATTATTCGTAAACGAACGCGAAAAACGATAGACGCGAACGAGTGCATTCTGTTCGGTAGATAAAATATTCGTGAATGACCTTGAGCGGTTGTACGGAGCTTGTTACAATGGTGAGAAAACTGGATGCAATTGTATGTAATAACCAGTATTGTTCACGAAGAATTAAAATGTACGAGAGCACATGCAATTAAACATTAATTGGGTTTGCTGATGTTTTAAAGTTGTTGAGGCGTGAACAACCAACAAACTGCAATAGTATTTTTGTCAAGCTATTTCAGAAGTGACATCTTAATATACGTTTTCCCGATTTAAAGTCTTTTCTAAAATATATCCTCTGAATTCGTTTCCTGTGCTTTATTTTCTATCAAACTGTTTGGCAACAACGTATTTTGGCATAACTTTCTTTGTAAATTGTTTAGGTAATACTCAAGGATGACTTATGCTAATCGCGTAGAAACAAGGCCAGAGCCTCGACATCAACTTCAACACGCTTAGCGTAGGCTGCGACCCAAATGTATTAGTTTATTTACGACGCAATTCCGTTCGCGGGATCGTATTTTCGTCCTCTCCTATCGCCAAAGAATCTCACATTATCGCATTTTTTATCTCCCATCGTTCCCTTGTTTGCGTATCTTTAGGTCAGGTCACGCTTCACGAGAGAATAGTTCAGACCTCATTGAAGTGATATAAATATCTAACGTTTTAACATAATGTACGTTGCTTTAACTAATATCAACTGTACATTGAAAAAAATACGATTAACTATCATCATCAAACCAAAATATATTTATTCTAAATTGTGAGTACAATGCTGTGTACACTACAATGTGATGTATTACAAGTACCTATGTGATAATGAGTTTTAACTCCTGTAAACCTTGTAAGACGAGTTGGAAGAAAAACGTTTAAAACAATTCTGTTCGAATTTACTATTTATACAGATGCAGTACAGTATTACTATTCCCGCTAATTACATATTTTTTCCGGAGTAAATTAATCAAATTATTTTACTGAAACTATCACCCCCAGTAGCATCGTTTTGTAATTCTAAGAGATTGAAGAGAAAATCATTTACTCGTTTGAATATCAATAGGAAAATATTAATATTTTTTAGATTTGTGCACCATCTAAAACGTTTTCATGATAAACAGCACAACCATTCCTTAGTAATCTTATTTCATTTATTTGTAACAGTCAAAGTGTTGAATCGCTAAGTCATTATTCAAACAGGACATCGCGATGAACTAGAACCTGCCAGCTTCGTTGATACATTCAGAGCACTCATCAGAAGATTGTGAACAAAGGGCACTTAACGACCTCTCCATCACCCAAAAACCTACACAGTGAGATGGCTAATTTTACAAAGGAGTTATCAGTGAGTAATCCATTATCCAAAATATCTTCAATGTAGATCTTTCGTTGGAATGAATTAATTACGATGTGTATATAAGGATGTCAGTTTTAATTACATTCCTTCTTCAAAAATCGAATATCAATTTTCTTGCCAGTCTTATCATTTCATAAAGCTTTTGTTTTATGAACAATGAAGATCCATTATGACAAAAATATTACATTGTAATACTATTTTATGAGAATGTCTTGTGAATCGAGATGCAAGACAAAAGAGGAGATGCTTTCACGGAAAACTACGGTTCTTTTTATTAAGAACACGTTCGATATACAGTATGTGTAACAATATTGTTTGTACACTTGCTTTTGGTAACTAAAAATTAAATATTTACACTATTTACACCTTTTGTTTTATCTTTATTTTTGGCCTTTATATGTCACTAAGGAAACAAAAACAACTAACCAACACTTATTTTGCTTTCAAGCAAAAAAACAAATAAATAATTTAACAAAAATCTGGCTTTTACCGTACAACAGTCTAATTGCACACCA